CCGGGATCCGAACCGGCGAACCCCGGGCCCCTGCAGCAGAGGGTGTGCACTTAATGGCTTGCACCACCGGGCCAGCCCCCCATTACCCTTTTTAAATATTGCTTGCCCTCCATTTGCTCTCTGCTCTCCTTTTTGGACTCCAATTACATGTATTTAGATCTTTTTACTGTATTCCACATGTTTCGTATGCTCTTTTCTGAATTTTTGTCTTTTCTCTCTGTGCTTAAGTTTGGATATTTTTCTTTTGACCTTTCATTTGACTAATCTTCTTCTCTGTTGTGTCTAATCTGCTGCTAAACCCACCGACTGAATTCTTAATTTCAGTTATTATATTTTTCAGGCCTAGAATTTCCATTTAATTCTTTTTTATAGATTCCAATTCTCTAGTGAAATGCTTTATTTTTTATCTCTGTTCTCCATGCTCCCTCTCTCCTCCCTTTTTACATTTTGGTCATAGCAGTTATTTTAAAGTCGTTGTCTGCTTACTCTAGTATCTGGATCATGTGTGAGTCTGTTTCCATTGATTATTTTTTTTTCTTGATAATCTTTCATATGGCTCTATCTCTTGGCATACCTAGTTTGAATCCTGGACATTGTGTTAAAAAATTGTAGAACCTCCAGATAATATTATTTTCTTCCAAAGAGAGTTTACCCTTTCCTTTGCTATTCAGTAGAGTATGGGCTGCTTACCTTAATCCAGTCAGGTACTGAGCTGACTTAAGGGTGGGCTGCAGTTTTGATAAGGTTCTCTCTATCTTCAGTTCACCCTTCTTTCTTGAATGTAGCGCTCCAGATCTTTCAACCAGAATCTGGAGAATTCACTGGAACCCCACCCCCAGCAGGTCCTGACTTTCAGTTCTTGTCTTCTCAGCATAAAATTACTCTTCATTTCAGAGGCTTTTTCCTTAATGTATTATTTTCCTATTACTGCTGTAGTAAATCACAAACCCAATGGCTTAAAACAGCACAAATATATTATTCTACATTTCTGGAGATCATAAATCCAAAATGGGTTTCATTGAGCTAAAATCAAGGTGTTGGCAGGGCTGTATTCTTCTGGAGGCTCTAGGGGCGAATCCATTCCCCTGCCTGTTCCAGCTTCTAGAGGCTGCCTGCATTCCTTAGGTCATACACCCTTCCTCCATCTTTAAAGACAGCAGCATAGCATCTTCAAATCTCTCTCTGACTCTGACCCTCCCAGCTCCCTTTTTCTTTTACATTGAGTTTGTGATTACAGTGAGCCCACCCGAGTAATCCAGGCTACTCTCCCCATCTCAGGATCCCTAACTTAATCATAGATCTGTAAAACCTTTTTTGCCATGTAATATATTCACAGGTTCTGGGGTTTAGGACACAGACATATGTGGTGGGGGTCTATTATTTTGCCTACCACAATTAGTTTTTTAGGTTCCTGCTTACACAGTTTCAGAACTCAGCACACGTCTTGAGGGGAAACCTACCATGTGACAGGCTCAGTTCTACTCTCTCCTTTTTTTCAGGGATCTTGGTCCCTCAAGTCTCCAATTTTATCTCCCTAGCCCTGCAAGACTGCCAGCAGTCCTGCTGGTTTCTTTTTCCCTCAGTAATTAGTTCTCGACCCGGGCAAAGCCCGGATTCTCAGCCACTAGCCCTGTGCCCAGAGTTGGCAAATGCCCCAAGGAGAACTCTGCTGCAGAATATCACCTTACCTCCCTGCGTTCATCTCTCTCGGGAATTTTGGCCCCCCTACTCCCATTTGCTTCAGCAGCTATCTGATTCATTTTATCCAGTTTTTCTAATTGATCTTGGTGGGAGCACTGGCCTGCTGCAAACTGTTCCATCATATTTCTTCTAAGTCCTTTTGACACAACTTTATATATATATTAATCTTTTTGATGTAGCCCAGGGTTTTGATATGACCCAGATGTCCCAGGTTTATCTTATGTATTTCCTGCCCTAAACTTGGAATTGGCCATTTCTTCAAGGACCTCTAGTTCCTTTTGTTGGGAAATGGTGTAAAGAGACCACAATTTGAAGGCAAGGATTGTGTTTTATGCATCTTTGTATCATTTGCACCTAGTGTTTTGCTTATGTATAATAGATACTCAACAAATATTTGTTAAATAAATTTTATATTCATGCTTTCACCTGGTTCTACTCAGCTTAAGTACCGCTTCCTGGGCCGGCCCCGTGGCTTAGCGGTTAAGTGCGCGCGCTCTGCTGCTGGCGGCCCGGGTTCGGATCCCGGGCGTGCACCGACGCACCGCTTCTCCGGCCATGCTGAGGCCGCGTCCCACATACAGCAACTAGAAGGATGTGCAACTATGACAGACAACTATCTACTGGGGCTTTGGGGGAAAAAAATAAATTAAAAAAAAAAAAAAAAGTACCGCTTCCTTCATGAAGTCTTCTTTGGCTTTTTCTCCTCTCTAAATTCTCTAAACTTCTGTAGCTCTTCTACAGATTTAATTCAATTATTGTGCCACTTGGAGGCTTGAACTAGATAGACATTACAATCCCTTTTAATCCTAATAACCTATACATTAGCACCAACTATACATTCTCTTATTCTTTTGATGTATGTTAATTTTTTCACTTAATTAAATTGGGAATTATTTGAGGATAGAGCCAGATTTTACTCTTTCTGGACAAATGGTAGTTGCTAAATAAATGCTTGTTGATTGATCAATTAAGTAGATTAACTTTATTTCATATTGTTACTGTTGCAGTTTGGAAATAGGTGGAACTTTTTTGATTTAAGAATGTGTGAGGGGGGGCCGGCCCCTGTGGCTTAGCGGTTAAGTGCACGCACTCCGCTGCTGGTGGCCCGGGTTCGGATCCCAGGCGCGCACCAACGCACTGCCTCTCCAGCCATGCTGAGGCTGTGTCCCACATACAGCAACTAGAAGGCTGTGCAACTATGACATACAACTATCTACTGGGGCTTTGGGGAAATAAAAGGAGGAGGATTGGCAATAGATGTTAGCTCAGAGCCAGTCTTCCTCAGCAAAAAGAGGAGGATTAGCATGGATGTTAGCTCAGGGCTGATCTTCCTCACAAGAGAAAAAAAAAAAAAAGAGAATGTGTGAGGGGCTGGCCCGGTGGCATAGTGGTTAAGTTTGCGTGCTCTGCTTTAGCGGCCCGGGGTTAGCGGGTTCGGATCCTGGGAGCCGCCCCACGTACCGCTTATCAAGCCATGCTGTGGCAGGCGTCCCGTATATAAAGCAGAGGAAGATGGGCACGATGTTAGTCCAGGGCCAATCTTTGTCAGCAAAAAGAGGACTGGCAACAGATGTTAGCTGAGGGCTAATCTTCCTCACTAAAAAAAAAAAAAAAAATATGTGAAATATTAGGCTGGAGGGAACTCTTCTATGTAAAACTTAAAAAAAAAAGCTTTTGGGGCTGGCCTGGTGGCGTAGTGGTTAAGTTCATGTGCTCCGCTTCAGCGGCTGGGATTTGCAGGTTCGGATCCCAGGTGTGGACCTGTGCACCACTTATCAAGCCATTCTGTGGCAGGCGTCCCACATATAGAGTAGAGGAGGATAGGCACGGATGTTAGCCTTGGGCCAATTATCCTCAGGAAAAAGAGGAGGATGGGCAGCAGATGTTAGCTCAGGGCTAATCTTCCTCCCCCCTACCCCCCAAAAAAAACTTTCAAAAATGAACCACTATAATATGGTATATGTATATCTTTCTCTACAGACTTGAAGCTGAACCGCCTAGGTTCAGAGCCAAGCTTTGTCACTTACTCTTTGAGTGACCTTGGACAAATTTACTTAATTTCTCTGACTCTCTGTTTCCATTTTTATTAAATGGGTATAATAATAGTACCTACCTCACAGGATTAAGTGAGTTAATACATGTATAGCTGGCACAAAGTAAGTGCTCAATAAATGTTAATGATGAATCATATACATACATTTAATAAAAAATGTAAAACATTTGTAATTACTTTTTTTACTTAACATTATATTGTGAACATCTTTTCATGTTTTTGAAGTTTTTAATGTAAAAAATATCTTTAATGTCTGCATAGAATTTCATTGCCAAGAAATACCATAATTTCATTTACGAATCCAGTAGTACTAGGCATTTATTTCCTTTTTTTTTTGCTGGGAAAGATTAGCCTTGAGCTAACATCTGTTGCCAATCTTCCTCTCCTTTTTGTTTCTTTTTTTCCTCCCAAAATCCCTGGGACATACTGGTATATTCTATTTGTAAGTCCTTCTGGTTCTTCTATGTACGCCACCACCACAGCACGGCTACTGATGAGTGGTGTGGTTCTGCTAGCGGGAACCGAACTGGGGCTGCTGAAGCAGATGTGCTGAACTTTAATCACTAGGCTATCAGGGCTGGCTCTGTTTCCATTTTTTAACTGGCTTTTATTTGACTGACATTTTTTCTTACCCAAGAACTGAGGAGAGGAGAATGGCCAATTTGAGAATTTAGAGGTAGCATAGCATCCTGTAGAGATAATACTGGATTTAGAATTAGTTACAAGATTGAATTCTAGTTCAGAGTTTGCCCTTTTCTTTTTAAGACTCTATAAAATGATCAAGTTGGACTAAATAATCTGTTGAGTCCTTTACAGACTTATCTTGTCATATTATTGTGCAGCAGTTGAGCCCATTTTAGTCATAAGTCTTAAGTATTATTTCCTCTAAAAGTCACACACAAATATCTTAGCTGAAGTAATTAATTACAGAGCTTCGCACCCAGAGTACCAAAGACTTCAAGGTATTGACCTCTTCAGCCATCAGGTAGCCAGTCAGAGTCTGAGGCTGTAGACCCCAGGGCTGATCACCTCCAGCTGCAAGCAGCCTTACCTATGACTCCAGTCCCTTCTAGTTTACCCAGTATACTCTGCTGTACAAATATGGTTTTCTGTGTGCCAGCCTGTGAAAAGGTTTGGAAGTACTGATCTATAAGAATATATCAGGGAAAACTTTTGCTTATGGAAGACATATGTCGTTCAGATCCTTGTTATATTGTTGATAATTCTTCATTCTTGGACTTTTTAGCATGGCTGCTCGCTGTTTCTGGGATGCTGACACTGACAACTACACTCATGATGTTTTCATGAATGTAAGTCTATTTGGAAACCTCTTTTTCCCTTCCAAGGACTTGTAGACATTCTACATCAAATTACGTAACATTTATTAAGATGCAAGGACACCTTAGTTTGAGACATTTGTCTTAGACTCCTTCTGGATAAGATGATTTTCCTGTTCCTTTTTGTGTTACTAAAGCAGAAATCTAGTGTGCTGCTTATAAGCAAGGAGACTTGTATGCGTACAGAGGATGTAAGTCTTCACAAGTTTGAATTTGGGAATAGCATATTGTTTAGTGATAAAAGATAAATAGCACTTTGCTAAGCTGCAAAGAAATTTGGGTGGCAGGGATTCCATGAGCAAAGGTGATTTTTCTTTCAGTAATAAAATTAATCACTTTATCCTAAAGTTATTTCTCAAAGCTAAGCAAAAATAAAGAAGAATTTTTAAAAAGAGATTTCATTTAAACATTGGTAAGTTGTTGACATGAACGTTTTTTATATTTTAATCATATGTTGTTATTTTATACTTGCTTCCAGAAATGATCCCATCCTCTGTCCAAATGCTCCCAGGTTGCCAATTAGTAGAGTCTGAATTCAAGTATAGTAGAGTAGAACAGAAACTGGATTGAGTGAATTAAGAGAGATGTTCCATTTCCAGCTCTGTAACTTTCTAATTGAATGACTTTAGGCAAGTCATTGGACTTTTCTCTGATTCCATCAGTAACATTAGGAAGCTGTACTAGAGTTTTCCGAGAGACTGGCTGTGGCTGCCTAAGAATAATTTGAGAAACTTGTTTAAAATACAGATGCTGGGGCTCTATTCAAGTAGATTCTGATCAAATAAGCCAGGGGTTGGATCAGTGAATCTGAGTTTTTAAAAAAATTCCCCACATGATTATGCTTACTGCCAGGTTTGGAAGCTGCTTGTGTAGATGATCTTTTAGCTCTGAAATTCTGTGCTCTTACCAAAGTTTCTTTTTATGCTCAACTACCTTAGGGATCAAGGGCTGAACAGTGGGACGTACTACTATGTAAATCTTCATTTATCAGCTCTCTGGGGGAAGGGCCAAGCTAAGGTGATGTTTTTTCCTGCTTTTTAATATTAAAAATGTGTATTTCCCTGAGTCCTTATACAATACAATTCGTTCATTCAACAGATAACTCTGAGCTCCTATTACGTGCCAGCCTCTGTCCTGGAGGTGCTAGGAATAAAATGATGAATAAGACAGGCATGGTTTCTTCCTGTAGAGAGCTTATAAACCACTGGGGGCCAGACAATACTCAAATTAACAAATATGTAATTTAAAACTTTAGTTATGAATTATTACTTAATAAAGATTAATAAACAGGATTGGTGGGGGCGGTGCTTAAAAATTATTTTTGAGGGGCCGGCCCGGTGGCGCAAGTGGTTAAGTGCGCGCACTCTGCTGCGGTGGCCCAGGATTCGCCGGTTCGGATCCTGGGCACGCACCGATGCACTGTTTGGCAAGCCAGGCTGTGGCGGCGTCCCATATAAAGTGGAGGGAGATGGGCATGGATGTTAGCCCAGGGCCAGTCTTCCTCAGCAAAAAAAAAAAAGAGGAGGATTGGCAGATGTTAGCTCAGGGCTGATCTACCTCACACACAAAAAAATCATTTTTGAGAGCCTTGTCTAGGTTGCTGACTTAGTCTGCTCTTTGTGGAGTGTTGATTTAGGTTTCATCGTCAGAGCTTAAAGCACTTTGTTTATTTGGGAGAAGATCCTAGGAAGCACCAGTGGAGGATGAGGAAATGAGAAAGGGGAGAAAAAAGCATATGTTACTGAGCTGATAATTGCTGTGGATAACCCCGCCTCAATCCTGCTGGGGAACTCTGGGTGGCACTGTAGAACAGTGCCAATCAAAGCAGAGTCCACAGACCAGTGCCAGTCCATGAACTGTTATAGGTCTTTGATGAGATAAATACATGAATTGAGTGTAAGGGTTTAGAAACTCTTATAGGAATTTGACAAAGTAATTTTATGTCCATTGAATCTAATAATAAAAAGTTTAGGATGTATTTGTATGTTTTTTTATTTCATTTTCCTAGTCACTAATTTTTATTGTATTTTACAAAAGTATCAGTCCATGTGGGGTTGGAAATTCAAACAAAAACAAAAAACAGGTCCTTTACCATAGATAGCACTATTGTAGAACACGGATCCCAGTTATCCCACCCAAGGAGCCAGGGAACTGGGCCAACCAAAGAATTTTGCGTTTGGTTAATAATCAGGTACTTGAGTTCAGATTTTCTCCCATCAGTGCCAAGCTGGACGTGAAGTTGGTGGGTCAGGAGTTGCTGAAGCAGGTGGAACTCCTGTAATAAATACCTAAAAAGTGTTTTAACAAGTTTAACTGGGATCTGGAAAGCACTTGGAGCTGATTCTAAAAAATGGACAAATGAATTTTATCAATTAAGAACAAATACCCAGAGACCGTCTGCCCCTATCTAGAATTTATGACAAGGTGCTGTTATTTTTATTATCTGTGATACTATAATATAGTTCCTTGAGTTGGGTAATGCATTTACTCCAGGAAACTGAAAGCATTTCATACTTATTATTCTTTGGTATTATTTCTTTGATAAATATTATTATTTGTTTGATAAATCATGGAAAATGGGAATACTTATTTTATGAATATGCATTACATAAAATTCATGAGTTTGCATTTTACTTCTACTTTCAGAAAATCTAATTCTTTATCCATCCTACCGTTTTAGCAAGCAATTTTATAGTTACCCTGGGGCAGGCAACTTTACAGCTATACTCTGGAAACCGTTTGTTTCTTGAAGAAGGAAGAAGTCTTCATGATTGAAAATTGGCAAAGATCTGAGATGGTATTAATTTCAGGTCTGTGCTGCCCTTAGTCTTTCATTAGTACTAATGTTCTGGATTTGTGAGTGTGTGTTCTGTTTTGTTTGTGTTTTAGGACAGTTTATTCTGTGTTGTAGTGGCATTCGGCTGTTTCTACTATTGAATCTTTGAAAGCTGGGAAAAGAAATGACCATGAAGAAATATGAACTTTTTTATATTGTTAACTTGACAAAATAAAGATAAGTTGGCAGTTTGGCAACTGAGTCTGTTGAGTTTTAGGCCTTATATTTTAATGTTTTGATTTTGTTATAATATGTTCTTATTACATTTGGAAAGTAGAGAAAAAAGTAGGGGAAAATCCATAATTCAACTGTTCAAATATAACCAACTGTAAATATTTTGGTATGTTTTCTACCAGTGTTTTTTTATTTGCAGACTTGTGAAAATATCATATATACAATATTATAACCTGATTTTTCACTTCTCATAATGTCACGTGCAGTTTTTATCATTTTATTTGCATTATGATTTTCACAAGCAGAATTGAATAGTTGCATTTATTCCATTAGGTTATACCGTTGGTTCTTTTTGCCATGTCCTTATTAAGGGACTGATTTTTTTCTAATTTTTCACTATTACAAATAACACTGAGATGAATTTATTTGTGCATAAAGTTTTTTCCCTACATTTTGAATTGTTGCCTTTATCTCTCAGCCAGTGTTTTTGCTCCGCTCTTGCTACCCTACACCTTATACAGCTTATTAGCTTAAACATGCATCTGTTTCTCCAGGGTTTGTCCAGTGTCAGGGTCTGAGAGTTTTCAAGCTGTGTCTGAAACTAGCCCTTCCTTAAGACTCTCTGATACTATGTTGGTTACTGTCCCAACTCCCACTATTTTTGTATTGATGTTTCCCTTAGGGTCCTTGGTGTCTTCTCAAGCTAGCTGCCCTTATTTGGAGCATCTTAGTCTATTGGCCATGTTAAAATAACTAGTATTTGAAACTCAAAAGGGAAAAGGTCACAATTTAAATCATTTTTCTCCCTGGAGGCTCCTCAGCAGACGCAGAGGTTTACCCACCCTGTTTCTTCGCAGTCACTTTCAACTCAACTATGTCAACAAAAATAATAATGAATAAATAAGTAAATACACTAAAAAGTTCTTTTACATACTCCTTCCATAACATTGGGTATCTACTTGCCTTACACCTATACAATCAAAAGAGACCCTTCCAAAGGCTCAATCTAGCAAAGGAAACGTTTCTCTTCACCAGACACCCCGCCATGTGATTTCCTACCAGTGGCCTCCCTTGAATCCGCTCCTGCTCAACTAGCCTCACTTGATTCCTACGCATCCTTTTTTTGGTGGGCCACCCTGGGTGGGAAATAACATGAAGAACGAGGCTTTGGGGCCCACTACCGGGTTTCATAGGGCTGGGTTGGCGGACGTGAATTCTCTTTACGTCACCAAATAGGGAAAAGTTGGCGCCGCGGTGAAGCGGTCGCAGGCTGGGTGTTTGGCGGAAGGCGTCACGGCCACCTGCCCTGTGGCTGCCCAGCGGCAGGGGCAGGGGCAGGGGCAGGGGCTGGGGCTGGGGCGGGAAGGACCCGGGCGGCCAGGTCCGCCAGAGCGGGACCCAGCCCAGAGCCGCCAGATTAATGCTTCTTGACAGACTGCCAGTGAGCACGCGTGACAGTGCACACCCAGATCTCACACCAGGAGGCGTCTTCACTGCCTACGCCAGTTCCGCGTGGAGACTGACCCTTAGCCATTTCCTTTCCTGTCTGGAGTTTTCTGCTCAGTCACTCCTTCCCCGGGGACTCCGTGGAGGCGGAACTACTGTGTCAGAAGCAGTAGTTTTCAGGGGAAAGTTGTGGTCGGATTGACAAGAGGGCGGGCAGTGGGCGGGACTTCCGGCCCGCTCTTCCGTCAGCTGCCTTTCCCGGGCGTCTCCCCGCAACCTCCTCGACTTCCCTTGTCCGTGACGCGGCGCCCGGCGGAGGTCCGACGGGACGGGGGCCCGGGGAGCTTAGGCTGCAGGTGAGGACCCGGGTTGTGCATATCTTTGCGGTTCTGTTTGAGACGAGAAACTGTGGCGCTGGGACCGCGAGGAGAGTGACTGAAGGAAGAGAGGGTCAGTGACAGTGAGGGCAGTGTGAGGCAGGGGCTGCGAGGCTACTGTGACCCAGGGGCAGTGACAGCGAGGGGACTGTGGCCCAAGAGCACTGAATGCGAAGGGACTCTGACCTCGGCGAGCACGAGGCAGAGGCTGCGAGAGGACTCTGACAGAGGAAGTACGAGGCAGCGACTGCGAAGGGACTGTGACCCAGGGTCAGTGACTCGGCGGAGACCGATCAGTGGGTAGTGACTATGAGGGGACTCTGACTTGAGGTAACAGGAAGCAGAGGCTGCGAGGGGACTCTGACCAAGGAGTCGACTTTGAGGGGCTGACTAGGAGAAGGGAGTGGGATCAGTGACCGACATGGTACTGTAGGGCTGTGTTAGGGCACGGGGCATGACTGAGTGGGGAGACTGGGCAGAAAAGGTCTTTAGTGGAAAGAACGCTAATCTTGGATTTACCACACAGACCTGAGTTTAATTTTGTGGACAAACTTCTTGTGGCTGGAAAACTTACCTCTCCACTGAGCTACAGTTTCTTCATCAGTCAGTGGGAAGTTTGGACTAGGTTAATGTTTCCCAAACTATGGGTTCCATCCTATTATTGGGTCGTGAAATCCATTTAGTGGATAGCACCTGATGAAATTAAAAAAAAAAAAAAGGAATAGTATAGAAATTTTCAGCATGTTCACATAGTAAAGGTAAGTATTGTTTCATGAAACTTGTTTCAGTTATGTGTGTATGAGATTAAGATATAAAATGGATTTCATATATCTTAAAATGTATCAAGTAAAATGTAGTAAAAGAGATTGAAAAACATTGGACCAGAGTATTTCTGAATTTCCTTTTAGGTCTAAAATGCCATGATTCTGTGATTAGGGGACTGTTTGGAAGTACAGACATGCAATCGGGAAGACTGGATCTATGGCTGCGGCGCAGGCTCTATCAGGTTGACTTAACTGGAGAAGACTTCCTGAATGTAATTGAGGTGACTAGTAACGACTGAGGACTGAAACTCAGGATCTCAGTTGGGAGAACCAGAACCTATATTGAAATCGGGACAGTGATATTTATAGAGGCAGTGAGGACATATAGAGACAGTAATAGGAAAAACTGCCAGGAGTAGACACTGAGGAAGGGGAAGCTTTGAGGAGGGTGGGAACAAGATGTAGGAAGGGAACTGAAGATAGAGACAGAAAACATTCTGCCAAGAATAAAATGGGAGTAGGGAGACGTGACCTTCAGGGTCCTTTTCAGTCTTGATATTTAGTGGTTCTGCAGGTACAGAGAATTGCTAGTAAAAAGATATTAGTCGAGAATGGGATTTGGTGCCATAATCAGCGGTAAACAGATGATGACCATCATGAGGAAGAAAGGATGATGCTGGGAAGGTCAACATGGTGGCCAGAATGCCTCTTAGGAGAGGCTTTAATGTCTTTAGCTATCCAGCTCAGTGATTTGTGCACTGGAGGCCAAGACTGGCATACTGGGAATGTACCATGCTGTGGGTAATTCAAATGCTATTTTAGCTGCTGATTCCCTTTCATGAGGGCTGCTAATAATGCTGATGAAATGAACTAAAATGAGTTTCACTACCTCCTCCTCTCTTACAGCCCTTTGTAGAAGGTGCTACTGATTGTGCCACCCAATATTTAAAAAAAAAATATCTAATAGGGAGCCAGCCCCGTGGCTTAGCAGTTAAGTGCACGCACTCCGCTACTGGTGGCCCGGGTTCAGATCCCGGGCGCGCACCGATGCACCACTTGTCCGGCCATGCTGAGGCGGCGTCCCACATACAGCAACTAGAAGGATGTGCAACTGTGACATACAACTATCTACTGGGGCTTTGGGGAGAAAAAGGGAAAAAACGGAAGAGGATTGGCAATAAATGTTAGGTCAGAGCCGGTCTTCCTCAGCAAAAAAGAGGAGGATTGGCATAGATGTTAGCTCAGGGCTGATCTTCCCCCTCCTTCAAAAAAAAAAAATCTAATGAAGTTTGAGGTAAAGGAAGTTTGATGCTGTATTTCTCTGATAACCTAATAGTCGTCCCCACCTCCTACACACATGTATGTACACTCTGAAGAGAGTTCAGAAAGATTGTTGAATGAAAACGAGTTGGAAATGGTGAGGGATAGCCTTTGTTTAGCTAAAAAATGGCTAGTTACACCTTTTTCTGGAACATTAAGTGTTTACTTGGCTCACATTCTACCTAACTGAAAGGAACTACTCAAGAATTTCTTTCTAGAACAGAATATATGCTTTAAGGTAACTGACCGTAGAAGAGAAGACATTTAGGCTTGGGGACTGCAGCACTGCCTCTGGGGTCCTTTGTGTTTGCTGAATGAAGTGATTCTTTTTGATCCACCCTGCTTTGCAAATTGCCTTTGCAAACCAGTATAATGGCCTGATTGATATTCCTCTCTTAGCCTATGATTTCTCCTTCCATAAACAGGCGAGGTTTTATTTTTCTTGGGGACTTCCTCTTTGGATATGTGATCTCTTAAAGAGAATGATCTAGTCAGATGAAGCCTTGGATTCAGAAGTCCCAGGTTACTTTATCTGATGTTTATACACTGACTCACTCTGTGACTGTGGGAAGAATGATCACTTTCTCTTGTTTTAGATTTTCTAACTGTGGCAGAGGTAACTGTTCTTCTGGTTAGACAGGCCTGTAATAATCTGAAATATATGCACAGTAACCAAATTTTTTATACAGTCTTGTGGAGTTTGTAAACAACCTGACCCGATTCATGATTCCCCTATGGGACTGTCTAACCTCTAGGTTAGACATGATTCCCTTAGGGAGCTGAATAACGTTTCCATGTTATAAGTGCTTATGAGAATTAATTTATGACATATTCATAGAAAAAGCAAGCATAATAATTTGCCATTGTTATTAATGATGGATAATGGCAAAATATCTAGTAATAATAGTAATTTTCTTACTCATGTCTTTCTTTCCAAGTATTTGCATAACTCTGATCTGAAGCCAGATCTTCTGGCTTTTCTACTAATAGAGATACTTCCCCCTTCTGAATCAACCAGAAATAGGTCTCTCTCATACCAAAGTTTGTGTTCACCTAACATAGATTTGGAAGAGTAAGGTTTTCTAAAGTCAGGATTTTTGGTGGAATTTTTTCAGTTAGAGAGACTCTAAAGTTGGAGTATTTCCCAATCATCACTGGATCTTGCGAGTTCCTTTTTGCTCAAGATTGTGGCTGCTTCTACATCTTTTGTGTTATCACCACATAGTCACGTTATAAAGCAATGACTTAGGAAGGAGGGAGTGAGGAGATCAGGGCTCTAGGCTCAACTCTCCTGCTTATTTGTTCAGAGAGTGACTTTAGCACCTCCTCTTTCCTAAGCTTTAAACCTTTCTGTTTCTAGTCCTAAACTTCTGTTTTCACAATATTCCTGTCAAATGGGTTCCCGCACACGTTTAAAGTGTGATTTGTTTGTTAATTGCTTTATGAGTGATTTGTGGCAAAATTTAAATCTTAACTCCCTTCTACAACTCACTCAGTAAATTCAGGGAATATACGTTTTTACATACTCTATTTTGCAGTATATACCAGAGCTCCACTCCAGAAGAAAAAAAGAGACTGTGAGTCTCTAATATACATTTGGCACTGTGTTAGGTTCGTTTACATGCATCATCTCATTAACATAAATAATTGAATTGCCTGTATTTTACTGTTTGCAAACCAGATTAGTAGATAGATATGTAGCAGGTTTCTTTTGTTTTTTCTTTTTTTCTCCTTTTCTTTTGGTAACTCTCTTGTTGCAAGCTGAGAGTTCTATTAGTTGGAAGCTTTCTGTGTTTGGATAGAATGCCTGCCAACGAGCCCGGGGAACCCATGCATCTGCTGGGCTGTTATATCACATTCACAACTATTTGCAAACCAGTTTTGAAGTGAGGGCTGCTAAAAATAGTGACAAATATAGAGAACAAACTGAGTATATGGCACTTGACAGATATCAGAGGGAGTTTTTTTTTTTTTGTGAAGATCATCAGCCCTGAGCTAACATCTGCCAATCCTCCTCTTTTTGCTGAGGAAGACTGGCCCTGGGCTAACATCCGTGCCTATCTTCCTCCACTTTGTATGGGACGCCACCACAGCATGGCTTGACAAACGGTGTGTTGGTGCGTGCCTGGGATCCGAACCCCGGGCTGCCGCAGCGGAGCACGCACACTTAACTGCTTGCGCCACAGGGCTGGCCCCTGGAGTTTTTTATTTATCTATAGAGAATTACCTTAGATGTGATTATATTTGTTTGTTTATTTTTTGGCCCTAGAGCAGAGGTCTTAATCGTTTTTGTGCCATGGACCCCTTTGGCAGTATGGTGAAATTCTGTGGACTCCTTTTTTACAGTAATGTTTTTATATGCAAAAAATAAAATACCTAGAATTAGAAAGGAAACCAATTATATTGAAATATAGTTATCAAAATGTTTTTAAATGTGTGATGTAGCACTATATGTGCTTTTTATTAACATAGTAAATGTTTACTATCTATCAGTGGGTCTTATAACTATAATTTTAAATGATCATGGGTTTAAACAATATTTCAAGATATTTGTAGCAAGTGTAATGTGATGTGAAAATGTCTACGATTTCTATTGGTGACAAAGTCTATTTTTCTACTAAATCTACTATTGCTTATGTAATGTGGCTTATGTTTATAATTGAATGGTGAATGGCAATGGTGAATTTGCCAGAGGTTAGTAAAAATAAAGATATAATTTTTTTTGTCCAAGTCACAGACTCCCTGAATCTATCATAGACCCTGCCTTAGAGATATAAGTTCTATAACCTACTCTAGGAACAACACAATCTGAATATAGGGTTTACTTACTGAATCTTCTAGTAGAATAGTGGCAGAGCAAAATCATCAAATGTAAGAACTATTATAAGTGTCCCT